TAGGGTAGGTTAGGTTAGGTTATCGGGTTTTGTTCAAGTGACCACCCTCTTTCGATCCCCCACCTCCACCCGCTTGAAAATATTTTTTTTATTGAATTTTATTTGAACTATAGTGTATGAAAATTGTCAAAATAATCAACTTTCAACCCCCATAACTTTTTATGAGGATGAGACCGCCGCAAATTTTTTATGGGGTTTTATTCAGATGACCACCCTCTTTCTATCCCCCCTAGCCCCACTCCCTTAGGGGTGGGGGGCCATCATCTAACCCCCATAACTTTTTATGGGGGTGAGACCGCCACAAACTGTTTATGGTACAGTGGTGGGGGAGATCTCCTCTTTCGATACCACCAACCCACCCCAAAGGTGAAAACATTCTGGATTATTTAAACAAAAATATCTCTATCGTTTTTACTATCAGATACAGAATAACAGTTTTTGGCATTTTATTAAAAACATATAACAGGCTCAATTTCTCTACATGTAATTACTAATTCCCGAAAAAAAAGAGAGAATTAGGCAGATTTAACGTCAAAAGATCTTTGTTGATCTGCATTTTAGGAAAAAGTGATCAGTCACCAAATCAAAAGTATGACAAGAGACGAAACGTCGAACACTTTTGACGCCACCGTGTTACGTCATGGTGATTTCATCAAAAAGACGCGATTTGAATCCGGAAATCCAGTTTCATCAGACAATAGCCGCGAATGCCTAAATCCTAAAGTCCTACAATCTTCGTAGATCTGAAAAAATGTGCTGTCCTGTTCTTCAAACATTATCTTAAACTAGACTTTCAAATCTAGACAGTTTCGTCAAGGTCTTCGTTTAAATCATTTTTTGTTTTGCAGATATGTCAACTAACCCATTCCCAGCAATTACAATAAATCCNGCTTTAAATAAAATGGAAGCGGTACTGACAGATTAGTTCTGTATGAAAATAAATAAAAGTAAAACTAAAATACTGGTATGCAAGGGAAGAAAAAGTAGGGAAAAAGCGAATATAAAAAAAAAAAAACTTTTGGGTGTTTCATTCCCACCAGCCAGTAATGCTGGTGGGCGGGCAGTCCCTCCGGACTATGCCGGAAGGTAGGGCGGAAGGCCCTATTCAGCCTGCTTTCAGGAATAGTGGGAATGGGTGGGTGGTGGTTCGGGTGAGAAAGATGAGACGGACGAAATGAAGACAGAAGAGAGTGAAAGATTATCTGTGGAATATTACTGACTCAGCATTTGCCTAAGTGATCCAAGGAAACCACAGAAAAACTTGGACCAAGGCAGACGGACCGACGGATAAGTGAGGATGGAAGGAGTAATAGGGATATAAAGCAGAGGATAGCGCAGGGTCGTAGCGCCCTTAATAAAAAGAACTCACTTCTATGCTCGTGAACGGTTAATTTAGAAATTCGAAAAAGGTTGTTAAAGGTGTATGTTTAGAGCACGGCGTTGTACGGATGCGAAACATGGACAATGGGCGCGGCGGAAAATAAAAGATTAGAAGCCTTTGAAATATGGTGTTATAGGCGGATGATGAGGATAACGTGGGTAGAAAAGGTTAGAAATGAAGAGGTATTAGCAAGAATAGGACAGAGGACAGAGGACATAAAAGTCAATAAAAAATAGTTGAGATAGGTTCGTAGGACACCTTCTCATGCATGAAGGTCTAGTCAGAGACATATAAGAGGCAGAAACAGGAGTTAGGAGGGGTAGAGGTAGATCTAGATTAGATTACAGATCGCAAATAGTTACGGATTTGGGCTGTTCTAGTTTTAGGGAAATGCGAAGATTAGTTCAGGATAGGTAAGAGTGGAGGTACGTGTCCAACCACTCTTAGGACTGACGACCCTATGATGATAATGATGATGATGATCTTTTATTAGCTGTTTTGTACATAATTAATTTATTCAAAAGCAAGGAGACTTAGGGATGGGAGTTGTGTTACACTGCATTTTTTGTAAAACGTTAATTACCAATCACTATATTAATACCTGCTACAATTCTACTTATGTATTCCGGGGATTTCTCTTGCAATACATTTCTTAAGGAAAAGTAAAACAAGGACCAGGCGATGAAAGCTGCCAATATGGCTCTCCATGAGGACAATTCGTCAATACTGTATGACAGGAAATCAATCATAACTTATTGCCACTGACACATCAATTCAGTGGGTTAACGTCAACGAAAATATTTTTAATGTTCATCGAACCTAAAACAGTTGATAGATTATTTACCTGACAACACTTGCTTTTAATGGTTTCAAAACCTCGATAATTTTTGTAAATTATAAAGAAACAGAGCATTTTATAACGAGCGTAAGTACTTTTCTGTGTACCTTTTATTCTGCCAGTGCCCTCAGCTCTTACATTTAGCCGAAGCTTCACTAAAATTTTGCAGTATGTCTCTTCGCTATTCATTGGGACTATTAATAGTAAATATCTTTTGATATTATTCCATTTTATTTGAAATAAAAATTGTTAGTAAATGAGCACCAATTGCGCTGTCAAAATGACAAAAATTTTGTTTGAATCTGTTGAGAGAAGATGGCTAGAATTTCTTGTATAATTTTGTAGTCCGTAATCGCAAAACACTGTTGCATATTATGTATATCACGAAATTACGAAATTTATACACTTATACCCACTACACATAAAAGGAGGTAGAAAAAGGTCCCAATACAACCTACCCTTCTGACCCATTTAAATACTTCTCATCTAAAAATAATGAATTTATTATTATTTTGAGACTTTAATCGTGTTTACTAACCAATTTTTGGTAACATGTATATCATAAAATTAGACAAACAGGATGTTTGTACTGCTTAACTGTAAAAATAGACAAGTTCTGATAGTGTTTTAACTAAGTAAATAAAACTAAAATGGAAACAGTGAATGTGATAACTGGCCTACTTTGGTATTTATAAAACTGAACTGGTTTTGTAGATATCGTCGTAATTCTTAATGAAACAGTTAATTATTATTATACTACCATTTATCAATATTTTAATAAATAGTATATAGATTAGATTATTTTCTGCAACTTGTTATAAATGCTTTTATAGTAAATTTGCAACATATATGTACTTACAAATATTTTCCAATTTTCATTGCCTTTAACTTATAAAAATAACGGTAAAGGTCTAGATAATAAAAAGTTATGGGGGTTCAAAATTAATAAATATGCCAATTTTTATACATTTCTAGGCATGTAAATATTTATATAG